AAGCTGCCGCGGCTGGCGTCCATGGAGCGCAAATGGAAGAACATCCACGAGCAGTTCGAGCTGTCGTACATCACGAGCGTACTGCTGCTGGTCGTCTTCAGGATGATTCTGTTCTTCCATTGGATGACGTACGTGCACTACCAGGTGCCGGCGATCTGCTCGCACTTCTACGCCATGGATCGCAGCTGGCTGCAGCGGTTTCGCGGCGTGCAGCTGCCGCACAACACTGTCTTCAAGAAGTACACCGCCAACCTGTACCTGGCGTGCGGCCTCTGCATCGGGGCCGGCTACTACACGCCCATCGGGGTTTATGTCATTCCAGGTTTCGCGACTATATATATTGCGCTTCATTACTGCCAACAAATTAGTACATCCCTGTTGCTAGTCGATTAGGATCGACCCGGATTAAAAAATTGAATTTTGTTTCAGAGCTGCTGTTGACGGCATTCATAGGTCTGATGGGGCTGATCTTCCTGCTGTACTGCTTCACGACCCTCCTGCGGCTGATGATGTACAAGCAGTATGAGTCGTTCCTGTACCACGGCAAGCTGCGGGAGCTGGAGGAGTACATGGAGCTGAAGCGGCTGCCCGCCCTGCTGCAGAAGAAGGTGCTGCTGTTCCTCAAGTACGAGTTCAACGGCGGCTACTTCAACGAGCCCCTCATCCTGAGCACCATCAACGAGCAGATGAAGCAGGACATCAACATGCACCGCTGCCGCAAGCTGGTCGCAAACGTGCCCGTCTTCGGCGACATGCCGGTCGCGCTCCTCAACAACATCGTGTTCAGCTTGACCCGCGTCCTGTACATGCCGGGCGAGGTGAGTGCTCCTCGACACCCGGACCCGCCGCAATCGATCGCTCGGTTGCCATTTTCTTGTACGGCAACATACAATGTCTTCGCTTGTTTAGACCGTGGTGCGGAGCGGGGAGCCGCTCACGCGCATGTATCTGATCTGCTCCGGCACAGTCGCCGTGATGAACTGGGCGGGCAAGGAGGTCAGTATGAGCGTTTCCATACATCCGTACGGCGAGAGTAACATAGGTACTGAGGAGGCGGTGCCATGTTCAGATCGCGCACCTGAAGGACGGCGCGTTCTACGGCGAGGCGGCGCTGGCCG